TATAGCAAAATCTGGGACAGTTGGGAAACAGTGAAATTGCTGATTGGCTTGGATTTTCCCAGCATAATTATGAAAACAGGGCTTAATCAACGTTGTGCTATTACTATATAACCTATAGATACGAAAATTTTGTGCTGTAAGTAAAGGGAATAGGTAGGTAATGTCTCACCTGGTTGTCTTTGACAGTCAGGTAGTGTCCAGACCTCTCCAAATGAGCCACCTACTCATCAGAACAGTAACATGGGAGGGATGGGTGGGTGGGTAGGTAGGATTTACAGATTTAATGGTCAGTGTCTGAAGTACTTCAAATTAGATCACTGCATTAGTTTGGGGAAAAAAATGCCATTCTCACCACTCTTCATTTTGGTAGGACATTCTGTACTTAAAGTACTTGTACACGAGTTGGCAGCATCAAAAGAGAACCTGCTTGTGGCCAAACATAATTTTACACTGTCCAAATTGCTGATGTAATTTTCAAACACACATGAATCTGTTGAAGTCAGTGCTACGTCGTGCAAAGTTGAACCTGTCCATGATCCTGGTAAGTTGCTGTCTCACATTATCAGCCGATTTGAGAGAACGATGTTGGATAAAATTATCATAACCCCACTGTGTATCTTCATGGTCTAAAAATAAGGATAAAAAAGTTTTGTTTGAAATAGCTTGGGACATCTTTGGGCTTTGACTGTGTCAAGCCAGCCCCCAAAATAGCAAAGTACCCTTCCCAAGGCTGGCAAATCTCACCACCAAAAATGAGCCCACTGGCCCTGTTTTATATTTAATACTATACAAAAATGAGTCCCCTTTCTTGGTCCTTGTAAACCCTGATTAGATCATCAGGAGGAAAAGAAGAGATTGTAGCTAAACTTGTCTAAGACTACCACAAAATCCCTGGAGACTGCAGAAAGAAAACTGCTCCAACTTCTGCACTAGAACTCAAACAAAGAGTTACCGGTACATTATACTGGTAAATGCAATGTTACTCATGAACCTGAATTGTCAGATTATCTGCAAATAAGTTTAATCCTTTGACTCCCACGAGTGACCAAGACAGAATTTCTCGGCTTACAACTTCAATACAATACCAAGCAGACAAGTGATGAGAATAGAGAATCTAATGAGTTGATCCAATACCCAATTCTCCAAACTAACATTACAAGAATTGTGTGGCAGAAAAATTGTGTGGCAGACAAATTGTGTGGCAGAAATCTTCCCCAAGGAGAAAAAAAAACAAGGTTCCATAATGTTCAGAAAGGACTAAGAGGACAAGATTAGTAGGTGGTTTTTTTAGTTAACAATGCACACACAATAACATCAGAAAGCTTGGCATACAATATAAGTACAGGTTACAAGTCAAACTCACTTTGTTTGTATGCATGGTAAACATTGAGTAAGGTCAGGTGATCTCCATCACTGTGAGCAAACTTCATCTTAGCTTCATCAGCTGCCTTCTTAGCTTCATTTGGTCTCATAAACACCTGAGGAACTAACAGACAGAGGCAGGATCACTAATAAATTGTAATGATAACAGTTTATCAAAAAGTATTTTTAAGTAAATCAACAGGTTGACTTGATATCTGTATACCTGATAACATGGCAGTGACAGAGAGAATTTCATTCGAGCAGTTATGGTCACAACTGGCAATCTCAATCTCCAGTTAGCAAGTTGAGGGTTGAGTGGAAACTCTGCCATCATGGAGCCCAGTGATGTGAGCTCTCCATTGTCATCAGGGGCACCAAGATGGTTCAGCAGTTCAAGTGCTCTCATCAAAGTTTCTGGTCCTATCAAACTGACAAAAAAAGAATGAAATCTTAGCTTTCTTTGTTTGGTTTGTATGCAACCTTTTACTTACAAGACTTTGAGCTATTCCTTAGGAAATGACACTTCTGGGAATCACCACAAATCAAGGGCTACTACACATTTACCAGCTCGCTCACAAGCACTGAACCTACCAGGATGATCCATGAAGTCAAAATGCACCAAGTCGTCAATGCCCACAGTACCACAGTACCAAGGTTGGACCTCAGGATTTCAGGGTAGGTATTGTCTTGCATTTCAGTTTCAGTTTATAAGCTTTCTCTGCATACAATCTGAAACACTTGCCAAGACGTGTGCGACCAGCACAGCCAGCTCTCTGCTGTGAACTGGCTTTTGATATAGCAGAAACTAACAGTGACTCTACAGGGAAATGGGGATTGTACACCTATTATAGACAAGCCAAAGACAAAATGACTTTACACTCAGTAAACCTTAATAAGGAACAATAAAATATATGCAGAATTAGAAAGATGTAGATTTTTGAGCTTTGTAAGATAAAGCAGGTAAGTTTAAGTTTAAGGTCAGTTTAAGTGTAAGTTTAAGGTCATAACTTTTACCTACTTAATGATTAAGGATAAGGCTGATCATATTTGTAAGATCAATGCTTAGTTCATCATTAGGATTTTTGCCATTATTGTAGGCCATAGTTTTTCATGTTATTATTCTTATATACTCATATATGGCTGGTCACCAATTATTACCAGTCCATCAACCTTTGTTGACTGACTGACCGGTTTTTTTCTACCAGGATAAATAAAGTTGTTGTTGTTGTTATTATTATTATTATTATATTATTATTATTATATATTTTTTGATCTTGTCACAAACATGGGACAGAGAAAAAGTTCTGAGACCCCATGAGGAACTGAACCTGCACACTGAATCCAATGGTCTGGGGTTGGATTCCTTAAGGAAACTCAGAACGTTTACTTTGTCCCATGCTTGTTAAGAGACAAGAAAAATGGTAAAATACTTTGTGAAAAGTAGACAGTGATCAAATACTGAAGTAAGACAGACCTTCTGCTTGGAAAATCCAGGATCTATAACAAACACCACACCATCAATGGTAAGAGATGTTTCAGCAATGTTGGTGGACACCACACACTTGCGCCCAATGGCACCATTAGGGCGTTTTGCTGGAGCAGCATCAAAGATGCGCTGCTGCTGTTGTGGAGGAAGAGTTGAATACAGAGGGATGCAGCGGAGCTCGCCTACTTCAGGTCCCAGGTTATCAATTTCCTTCTTCAGTGTCTTACATGCTTCTTCAATTTCCTGAATGGAGAGAATAAAGTATAATGTTGAAAGGCTACTTTTAACTTAGTTTAACTTTGTTTAAAATATTATACAAACTGCAAAAAATTAATACAATACTCGTATTTGTTGCACAATGTCATTCAGGAATGAATGGTCCTTCAAATCTTCCTGCTTTGGTGAGTATTTCTTCACAAAAAATGTTGAATTTGGTTAAATCCTCATTTTTTTATGCCCTGTTAAGTCGAGGTCCGAATGGACCACGACCACGTAAAAGGGGATCTGGGCAGAGTAGACTTGTGACGTCACTTCGAGAAGACGCTCAAGGAATTCTCCGCCAGTCGTCAACCTGTGAAAGCCATTCTAGCACTAGATTCATTCTGCTGCATATTTGCGACCAATATCAATCTAACCTTCCAAACATATCCAGTAAACTGTGCAAAATGGCGCGAAATACAGATTGTTGGGTTCTCGAAGTGACGTCATATTAGTCGCCAGACTCTTGATCCTTGAAACGCAGTCGTGAGTCAAAATGGCGATGATTTTAATGCGATTTTCTGTACTTCAACAGGGCACAAAAATTCAAGGATTTGACCAAATCCAAAATTTTTTTTGAAGAGATACTCACCAAAGCATGAAGATTTTTTGAAACAAAAAAAAATTTTAAGGGTTAGGTGCACTTTAAGTTCTTGTTTAAAAAAGCGGCAACTAAAAGTCATCTACTCGCACCACTTTTGTCAATTACACACCAAAAGCTGATAAAAGATTTTTTTGTTAATTTCAGGCCTCATGTTAATCAACTCTGCAGTCATTCTAATCAAAGAATTTTTTAAAGTAAATGCAGTTTAGATGTTGAAATTTGAGCACCTTTAACCCACTACATTCTTACATCGGCATTGTTTTTCTCTTATACATTTCCTAAGGTGCTGACATGGAGAATTTTTCTGAACAATCAAGAGCTTTCTAAGTTGTGGTCATTTTAAATATTCGCGTCACCTTAAATATTTGATTCAGGGGTGACGTTGTTGGGAAAATTAGATGCTTATCACTCTTTAGGGACTTGTTAAGCCCAGTAGAAACGGAGATATCGATTTTTTTGAGAAAACAAATCAACAAATCAACATGGCGCTGAATGATCGTTCACACAAAATGTGGCCATGAATTTGCATTCTGTCAAGTATGCAACCATGTGAATTCTATAGCAGTTTTGTACAAATTTCCTGAGCTTTTAAGGTGTGGGTTATCCACCAGTGCGGGTAATCTGTTGACTTTTTTTTTCACTGTATGCAATTGGCCATGCTGGTAAATGGTTGGAAATTACAGTAATTGATCAGATACCAAATTCTCCCAATTAACATCATAAGAATTGTATGACAGACAGTAGAGAGGTTACCAATAATATCTTGGGAGTGAAAGGGTGTTTAAGGATTAAACAAAACATGCCAATTTAAACTCAACAGTGCATCAAGAACTTTGAACACACACCTCTTGCCCAGTAAGAAACAACAAAATGTCACCCTCCACTTCCTCACACATGTGATGGAAACTCAGAACGTTTACTTTGTCCCATGCTTGTTAAGAGACAAGAAAAATGGTAAAATACTTTGTGAAAAGTAGACAGTGATCAAATACTGAAGTAAGACAGACCTTCTGCTTGGAAAATCCAGGATCTATAACAAACACCACACCATCAATGGTAAGAGATGTTTCAGCAATGTTGGTAGACACCACACACTTGTGGCCAATGGCACCATTAAGGCGTTTTGCTGGAAGAGCGTCAAAGATGCGCTGCTGCTGCTGTGGAGGAAGAGTTTAATACAGAGGGATGCAGCACAGCTCGCCTACTTCAGGTCCCAGGTTATCAATTTCCTTCTTCAGTCTCTTACATGCTTCTTCAGTTTCCTGAATGGAGAGAATAAAGTATAATGTTGAAAGGCTTCTTTTAACTTAGTTTAACTTTGTTTAAAATATTATACAAACTGCAAAAAATTACTACAATACTCGTATTTGTTGCAAAATGTCATTCAGGAATGAATGGTCCTTCAAATCTTCCTGCTTTGGTGAGTATTTCTTCCAAAAAATTGTTGGATTTGGTTAAATCCACATTTTTTTTATGCCCTGTTGAAATCGAGATCCAAATGGACCACGACCACGTAAATGAGGATCTGGGCAGAGTAGACTTGTGACATCACTTCGAGAAGACGCTCAAGGAATTCTCTGCCAGTTGTCCACCTGCGAAAGCCATTCTAGCACCAGATTCATTCTGCGGCATATTTGCAACCAATGTCGATCTAACCTTCCAAATATAACCAGTAAACTGTGCAAAATGGTGGGAAATACAGATTGTTGGGTTCTCGAAGTGACGTCACATTAGTCGCCATACTCTTGATCCTTGAAATGCAGTAGTGAGTCAAAATGGCGGTGATTTTAATGCAATTTTCTGTACTTCAACGGGGCACAAAAATTTAAGGATTTGACCAAATCCAAAAATTTTTTTGAAGAGATACTCACCAAAGCATTAAGATTTTTTTAAAACAAAAAAAATTTAGGGGTTAGGTGGACTTTAAGTTCTAGTTTAAAAAAGTGGCAACTAAAAGTCATCTACTTGCACCACTTTTGCCAATTACACACGAAAAGCTGATAAAAGATTTTTTTGTTAATTTCAGGCCTCATGTTAATCAACTCTGCAGTCATTCTAATCAAAGAATTTTTGAAAGTAAATGCAATTTAGATGTTGAAATTTGAGCACCTTTAACCCACTACCTCCTTACATCGGCATTCTTTTTCTCTTATACATTTCCTAAGGTGCTGACATGGAGAATATTTTCTGAACAATCAAGAGCTTTCTAAGTTGTGGTCATTTTAAATATTCTCGTGACCTTAAATGTTTGATTCAGGGGTGACGCTGTTGGGAGAATTGGATGCTTATCACTCTTAGGAGTTTAATTAACTCTTTAACTCCCACGAGTGACCAAGACAGAATTTCTCCTTACAATGACAATACAATATCAAGAAGACAAGTGATGAGAATAAAGAAAATATATCAATCAGGGGATTATTACCGTAATTTCCTGACGCTTACCCGCGGGTAATCTGTTGATTTTTTCTTTAACACATGCCACTGCAGGTAATGAGGAGGTGCGGGTTATGTGATAATTTTGAAATCTACTAGCGGTTGAATTGAAGAAAATTCTCACCTACCTGCATTTCCACCTCTCAGGTGAATTTTATTGTATTAAAAGTGCCACAAAGCAGCATGAAAATATGATGCCCAATCAAGTTTATTTCACGCACAATTACATTAGTTGCGCCTGCTTGTTC